TCCGGCCGGGACGCTGGCCGCTCACGCTCCTGCACCCTCGCTCCTGAGGCGTGGGCTGCTGCTCCGCCACCCCGGCTTCGTGGCGAGGCCCGCCAGGTCCCTGCCCACCTGCCTGACCTCTCGGAACCCCCACCCTGCCGAAAGCTTATCAAGCCACTGGCTGCCCCCCAGAGCCACATCCCCTCCTACCTCCGGGCCTCTGCACAGGCTGTTCCCTCTGCTGGGATGCTGTTCCCATGCTTCCTTTCCTGGGGAATTTTCCTTCCTTTCTGCACGTCCCCCCCGGGACAGCCCCTTCTCTGGGTGGGCTCGGCATGATCGCCCTCACGGTGACACTGGCGCCCCCGGCTGGGAGCGCCCCCGGGCAGCCCCGGCGCCCACACGGGGGCCCCTGGCAGCCTGGGCACCTGAGTGGGGATCGCACGTCCCCCCCCGACTCGTGCGCCAGCCCAGAGGCCAGCTGCCGGACTGGAGGCGGCGGCCCACAGGCCCCTCTGCCCGGCAGGAGGTGGACTTCTTACCTTGAAGAGGGCAGCAGCGGCCTGAAAGCTCATGTGAGCCACCGACATCCTCTTGCGGCGGGGCAGGTGGGAGTAGCCGGAGCGCACGCTGGTGAAGGAGGTGAGGGACAGGACCCCCGGGGTGGGCGGCGGGTGCGGGGCGTGGGCCCGGTCCACCTCGTCCGGGTGGCGGAACGCCCGGCCTCGGGCCAGCGGGTCCACGATCTGGAGGGGCGAGGCGGTGAGCGGTGCGGAGCGCAGGCCCCGGAGAGACGGCCGTGCCGCGCGGGCGGGGCCCACCTTGGGCATCCTGCAGGGTTTCGGAGACTCGGTGCCCTGGAAGGACAGCGCCTCCTGGCTGGGCAGCTCCAGGTCCCTCTGGCACGAGGCCTTGAGCCGGCCGTAGCGCACGGCACAGTGCTGCAGGCTCCGGCGCTGCCAGTGCTGCCGCTTGGCCTCCCAGTCGCCGCTGACCCCGAACCACTGCGCCGTGCCCCTGCGGGGGGGGGGGGTTCCAGCCTGCACGCCGACACCCCTGCACGCGGGATGGGGCGGCCAGGGGCAGCGGGCGGGGGCGGGGCGGCCCCGACTGGGACCCGACAGCCAGACGTGTGGGGGCAGGACTCTGGACAGAGCGGCGAGCAGCCTCGGGAAGCCAGTCTGAGGGGTGCGGGTGCCCTGGCTCCCTGGACCCCCCGTCTCTACCCTGAGACCACCAGGCACACAGCCCCAGTGGGCCTGCCGCCCACCCGCCACATGGCACCGGGCCCTCATGTCCACCTGTGGGGAGAGGCTGCTTGCTCCTGCCCGCGTCCTCCGGCGGGGGACACGGTGCCCAGGCCACAGGGGACGGGGCTGGGGGCCGGGGGGCCAGAGGGGCTCACTTGCGGATGCTCTGGGACAGGGAGGCCTGGCGCCGGATGCCAGGGGGCTTCTCCGAGCTGCCCTCCTGCCATCGTCCCCGCGGCTCCTGCAGGCTGACGCTCTTCACGTAGGCGGGGTTCCTGGGCCTCTGGGGGAGGCGGGGAGCGGTCAGGCTGAGGCCTCCAGGGCCAGATCCTGCCGGCTCCTAAGGTGCAAGCCCCGAGAGAACAAACCTCGCCTTAATTCACCCCCTCACTGCGTTCTCTGTTTTAAGCAAGCACCGCCTGTTGCTCTTGGGGTGCTGTGGTCACCAGGGCCTGTGCTGGCCGCACGTGCTGGAAGGAGCCGGGCGAGTGGGCGGCACCACACGGCGCCCTGGGCGCCAGCCGGCCGTCCTCAATGAGGCCTTTATGGCGACTGGGTTGGACACACGGATGCACGCGGGCGCCGAGGCAGAGGCGGCCCTGGGTCGGGCTGCGACACCGAGGCTCCTGGCCACTCCAGAGCACGCCCCCACGGAGGCCGGGCCGGTGGGCGGCCGCGTCCCAGCTGGGACCTCAACCCTGGCTCCAGGACGGCTCCCCGCCCCCGAGAGACACTCCCGTGCAGGGTGCAGGTGTCCCGTGGGCACGTCTGTCGCGGCGGGGCCCTCTCACCTGGGCCAGCATGCTGGCCAGCTCGCTGGGGGCCGGGGTCTCGGGCGGGGGGATGGTGATGGACAGGTTGGGAGGCTTCCGGCTCTGCAGGCGGCTGCTGGACACGGGGCCGCTTTCCCCATTCTCATCGGCAGAGGCCATGGTGGGCAGGGGCGGGCGGCTGGAATGGAGGCGGGCACAGGGGTGTGGAGGGGCAGGACTGAGGGGACCGGCGATCCTGGGGGCGCCCAGTAACCTGCAGGAAGTTGGCTCAGACTGAACTCTGGGGACTAAACCAGGTCACAGGTGTCTCTGTGCTCCAGACCAGGCCAGTGTCCAGAGAGGGCCTGGGGGTCCAGCCAGCAGAGCCCAGGCAGCGGGGCCATCCCAGCAGCCCGGTCAGGACCAGGATGGCTTCCTTTGTCCCTGGGCAGAGTGTGGGGGAGGACAAGAGGACCCCAGAGCAACCTGGTGACCGGGCCATAAATAGGGGCCCACAGCCTCTGCCTCACCCCGAGGCCAGCTGTGCAGGAAGCAGGTGGCTGGAGGAGGGGAGCGGGTGGGTGGCCGCAGGGTCCCTTCCCAAGGCTGAGACGGCCACCTGGCCAGTACTGCCCCCGTGGAAGGGGTGCTGCACTCGATGAGGAACGGGAGGCGCTCACCGCAGACCCTCACGCAGCCCGAGAGGGCGGTGGGCGAGCCTGCCGTCCCCCCGCAGCTCCCCCTTCCAGGCCCCCGGGAGAAGTGGCCGGAGGAGTGGCCCACCTGCCTGCCCACACTGGCGCCGCCGTCCGGCTCCCCACATGGCACGGCAGGGCTCCCCCCACTTGGGCGGCAGCCCGGCGCCTGCTCACACCGAGCCCTGGCCTGCGGAGCACTGCCCAGCCCCCGCCCTCTCGCCGCCCAGCCTTGAGCGTCTCCTGCCCCCCAGCCCAGGAGGGCGCGGCCCGGTCTTCGGCCTCCTACCTCAGAGCGCTGTTCCAGCCCCCGGCTCTAGGGCATGTCAGGCCCTTTCCCCGCTCCAGGCGCCCGGGGCAGGTCTACGCTCGTGGACGGGCAGCTGGAGACCGGACACGTGCTCTGGGCCGGCAGGGCCGCCCCTCGGTGCTCACGGCCTGCGGGAGGGGGGATGGTGGGGGGACGTCAGGGCCGCCGTGTCTCACCTTCTCAGCCTCAGCCTCGTCGTGGATGAAACGGGCACAATCCCCAGGCCTTGGGGGTGGGGCCACAGGGGAGGTACCCCCTCCGCCTCCCCTGGAGTAAGGGCCCCAGAGGGGAGACTTCTGGCAAGGGAGGCAGCCAGGGGCTCCCCAAACCCTGACCAAGCCCCCCCCCCCACCGGCTCCTGTCTTTGTTTTGTTTTGCGTTTTCCCGTCTGACAGTTCTTTACTGGAAATGCTTAACTTGAAGACCTTGCCCGGCTGGCTGTGCCCCCGCAGGGCGAGCCAGGTACGACACCCCACCCTCGAGCCCCGAGGGAGGGGCTGGGCTTCCGGTGCCCCCACCCACCTCAGGCACCTGCTGTGGCCGGCCACGCTGCAGTGGGGGTGGGGCTCCGGGGAATCAGGGACTTGCTCAGGGTCACTCCGCCAGGACGGGGCCCGGCACCAGGGCCGGAGGTGACCCTGGGAAGCAAGGGTCCCCCTTTCGAGAGCTGGGGTACGCTCAGGGCTAGACAGCCCCGTCAGGGAAGCATCCGAGGCTCTGCCGACAGCATTCTTCAGGGCCTGGGCCTCAGAGCGGCGGCGCAGTGTCCGGCCCTCTGCCAAAGTCCTCTGGCTACAGGAGGGACCCTGGGTGCTGGGAGCAACTGCCAGGCAGAAGCGGGGGTGCACGCCCTGCTCCCTTAGGGCTTGGGCAGCAGACACGGGGATCCCACCTTCCCCCGAGGCACTGGGAGTCCTGACCCACCCCCGGGGCAGACCTGTGTGGACAATGAGGCCCGCAGAGGCCCTGGACAGAGGCGCGTGGGTATCGGGCAGCACCGGGGCCCCGGAGCCCCACGGGACGCCACTCTGGGGCCGCTCTAGGGACAGCGCCGGGGCAACCGCCTCACCCGGGCCTGTGCGTAAAGCCGCCCCTCCTCTGGGACCACGGGGCAGGGAGAGGGCATCGGGCGGCCGTTGCCCTGGGAACTGGCCCCAAGGAGGGAGGGAGACAGCGGAGTTGGGCCGGGGTGAGCCCCGGGGGGCCCGGGCTCAGGAAAGATCACCACGCAGGGGACCGCACCTCCCGGGCGGGCACTCGGTGCCTTGAATCCAGGCCCCACACCCCACCAGACAAGCCGCGCGGCCCAGGCCCCCCACAACTCAAGCTCCCACCTATTCTCATCAGAGGCCCTGAGCCGGCAGGCCAGGCTCTGCTTCATCTGCTGCCAGCAGACCCCTCCCCCGGAAGCGGCCTGCGACCAGCAACAGAATCAAGCACTTTCTCACCTGCACTCACGCCATGCCGCAGGGGCAGGCCACAGGCAGGCGGCTCCCACCTGCCCCACACAGCGCAGGGCCGGCACGCCGCGGGCGCCATCATGGCTGCGCATGCACCGACGGCCACGACGCTGACCCTGGGGAGTGACCGTCAGCAGACAAGGTCTCTCTAGTTCTGCAGCCAGCACGGGAAGGCTCCGGCGTGCGGCCCGACCTGCCTCAGCTCTGCAGCCACTGCGGGAAGGCGCTGCCCGGGCTTAGGCCCCAGTAGACCTCCTGCCCCATGCCCAGCTCAGGCGACTCCCACCCGCCTCCCCGGCCCACCACAGGCACCCCCCAGGCCCGGAGCTCTCTCTCCCCAGGGCCATACCAGCCTCGCTGGGACCCCCGGCCCAGGACCGCTGCTACACAGCCAGTGTCGGAGGGGCAGACAAAATCCAAGACCGAAGAGGGGGCTGGACCAGCGTGGGGTCGCCCTGGAGGCCCCAGCGAGAAGCCGCTCCAGCCAGAGAGCAGAGCAGGGCTGGGGTGCATCACGCATCTTCAGGGTTCAGGGTGGGGCGGGGGCCCAGGGCACTAGCATCGAGCCTTCTCTGTTCGGCTGGGGCCTTGGACAAGGTGAGGGTCAAGTTCTGCTGCCCAAATTCGGCACAAAAACATCACTGTCCCTGCGCTCTCTCCACATGCTGGGGCTAGCGTCCCGAACCCGGGCAGAAAAGGGGGGGCACTGGAGCCCAGCCCCTTCCTTGGGGCACAGGCTGGGGTGTGGCAGGTGCCGAGGCAGTCACGCCCACCCTGCGCATCCACTCGACCCACTCAGAGTGTGGAGGGCCCAGCCGGCAGAGGCCAGGCGGAGAAAGTGCTGGCGCCCCGCCCGACGCTTATCTCTGCACCCCAGAAGTGCTTGCTCACTGCAGGGGAAATTGTGACATCCTGGGACCGGCCTCCTCCTGGCCCACGCGCTCATCTGATGCTCCAGGACCCCCTCCCCCCCGCTGGCTGCCGGGCACGGCCGTGGGGGTGGGGAGGCGAGCAGGACCCGTGCTGGACCCCGGCCTCGGAGGAGACAGGCCCCTGGGCAGAGGGCCTGGGGGGGGGGGCGAGCGCGGTGCTCAAGGGATCCCCAGGGACCCGGGGTCGAGGCCTCTGTACCGGTTTCTGCAGCCCAACACCCAGTGTGTGACCCAGTGAGCGGTGGCCAGGATCAGGCAGATGTGGCAAGAGTCACAGCTCAGAAACCACCCACGCAGTGCCACCTGAGAAGCCGGTTTCCCCACAAGGGTGGGGCTGGGTACTGCCGGCTAGGCCCTGTCCCGACAGACGCGGCCGGACGCCAAGGCCTCCCCGGGGAGGTCCTCCAACGGGGCACCCCATGTGTCTGGGCAGGTGCACGGGGGCCCCCGCCCGGGTGAGTAACACCTGCCAGCAGTCTGGTTCCAGTCTCCCCCCCTTCGCCCACTGCCCACCACCACACCAGCCATGGCCTGTTCCTGCAGCCTGCATGGCCGGGCTGGTGGCGAGGCCTCTCCAGCCCCGAGCCCTAAGCCGGACGGGGCAGCGGCTGCAGCCAGGACACCAAGGGCCCGGCACAGGGCCCAGCCTGCGTGGGCAGAGGGAGAATGGAGCCCCTGTGGCCAGGGGGAGCAGCCCCGCCCGTGGAAAAGGGGAGACTGTTAGTGCCGGGGGTGGGGAGGTCGGGGCCGCCCGGGAGAGAAGTCGAGTCCGGCGCCTGGCACAGGCGGGCGCAGGCCGGCGGCTGGGAAGTGGAGCGGCTGCCCTGGCTGCTGATTCATAGGGTGATGAGGGCCGGGCGAGGAAGCGGCCGCGCTCCCTGCCACAGAAACTGAAACGCCATCCTCCCTGTCCGCAGCCTCCAAGCAGCTCGTCTTTAGAAAGCTGCAGAGAGGAAGCTGGCCTCACCCGCGCAAGGCGGGCCCAGTCCCCAGTTCTGCTGACCTCGGGAGCCACCAACACGGGCCCGAGGCCCCGAGAGCAGGAGCAGCCCCAGGAGGCGGGTTCCAGTGACCAGCCCCAGCCCCGGCACCCTACCCGCTGATTCAGCTCACATGGTGCCGGGGCGGACCATGGGCCGCACCCCACGCCTGAGGGTCAGACAGGATTTGGGGAGCCGAGAAATGGAGTGAAGAAAGGGGAAGGAAGCAGAGGGCCCCAGATGGAGGCAGAGCCGGGTGAGGGGAGCAGGGAGCCACACGCAAGCGGGGAAGCTGCCAGTAGGTCAGCTGCGGCTGGCACCTCCCCTGGCACCTCCCAGCGGTCACAGGCTCCATCCAGCACCCCGGGGCAGGGGAAAACTGAAACCACCTGCAGCTGGCGCCTCCCCAGGGTCCCAGCCAGACTATTCCTCCCCCTTCTCTGCTCAACCTCAGTTCAGAAAACAAAGAACTGGAAGGGCAGGTTCAGGGGTGTGGGAACAGCTGCTTTTCCCAGCCAGATCCCAGGTTCTGGGCGCCCCGACCCAGTCAGAGGGCTGGGACCCAAGGGTGACCACAGACACGGGGAGAGGTGTTGGCACCATGTGATCCCCCAGCTGTGGAAGCCTGGGATCCAGGAAGCTGGGGGGTGGGGGGAGCCCACACCCCACATCCTAAGATGTGGCAGCCTCTGGCAGCAAGGCACCCCCCAACCCGCCGGGACCACTGGGATGCTCTGGGCCCCAGAAGGTGCTGGTGTTGGGGGCACAGATGCCCCAACTGAGGCCTAGGGCAGGGCCCCAGAACACCCAAGGGGCTACCCATGGCTTGGGGTGGCTGGGAGAAGGGAGCAAGTGGGGGGCTCAACGCTGAGCCAGGCCCTGCCTCCTTTGTGAAAGAGCCACACTGTGCCCCAGTTCTGCTGGGCCCTGACCCCCTTGGGAGGGGCAGGCACCAGAAGTGGCCGCTGGGGCACAGGAGGGCCCTGGACAGGGGTGCTCGCGGGGACCAGGCGCGGTCGGGAGGGCTTGCCTCCCGGCATCTTGGGAGCTGGGTTTCCACTGGCAGAGGCCTAACACATGCTCAATGGCTGGAGAAAAGACAGATACAGCACAGGGAGGGGGCAGCGTGTAGAGCCCCCCGATTTCCGCCCATCTCCTCGGGCCTGGCCCCTGTGAGAACACTGACTGCAGAACAGTGGGCAGAGAGCTGCCCCCGCCTTGCCAGGCCACGCCTGGGGCCTCTGGAGCCACTTAACACTTGCCACTCGGCTTAAGAAAGATGCTAAGCAGCTCCCAGGGCCAGCAGGCTCTGGTCAGCACAGCCAAGGCTCGTTGGGGAGGGGGGGCACAGCAGCTTAGGGACGATCTACAGAGAGGTGCCCTGGGGCAGAAGTCAGGTGCCCCCAGGCAAACAGGAGGGGAAAGAGAGGCACACCTTATAAACAGTCATTAAGGTGCTAATAAACTTGGCCTCCCAGAGCCTGCCCTGGGGCTTGCTGCCTGCAAGAGGCTGCCCCGGGCCAGCAGAGCCGGGGCCACCCAGCCACTGCGCCACGCCCCCACAGGTCCACGTGGCTCTCTGGCGGAGGGTGTGGGCCGGAGACAGGGCTCACGGCGTGGCTTGGTGAAGCACGAGACAAAAGGACCTACAGTCTGGGACACTCTGGGCGTTTTCTACTTGCAAGCCTCAGTTTCTTCTGCTGCGAAATGGGGTGAGGCCCCCCATGCAGGGACCCAGTAGATGACATGAGCTTGTAAGCGGCCGGCACCCTGCAGACAATCAGCTGGAAGTGGACAGCTCTTTGACGGCTGCTGCCACGGCTCACCTGGCCTCTGAGCCAGCAAGGCCCCACAGTCAAGAGGTGCTGGGGCTGTGACCCCACTTTCTGTACCCCTGCCACCTGGAACTGATGAAGTCAGAGGCAAAAGAACAGGCCAGTGGGGCCTTCCCGGTGGCTAAAGCGCAGCACTACGAAGCTGTCTGCAGCCACCGCAGCACAAGTTCGATCCCTGGCCAGGGAGGGACCCCCAGGGCCCAGACCCCTTCTGTCTCCTCACCAGCCCCCTCAGCAGTGGATTTCGGTCAATCAATCAGTTCTGCTCCCTACTCTGTCTCTGGGGAGTCCTCTCACCCACCCCCCTATACCTCTGGCCTACACCCAGTTCTTCTATGCAAAAGTAAATAAAATCTTAAAAAAAAAAGAGTTGGGGAAACTGAGGCACAGACGCTTTACATGACTGCCACCCCCTGACCACACACCAAACAGAACACAGTGCCCGCTGGGCTCCCATCTCACTCTGCCCTCAGGCCAGCATCCGCCTGCTCACCTGTTGCCCCCAGCCCCCCCACTTTTCCAGAGGCCCCACCAGCACGCCGCTGGCAGCTTCTGACTGCCAACCACTTACAGCTGGGTCCCTGGGATACTGACTGCAGGGGGCGAGAATGGGGACAGGCTCCACTCTGGACAGAAGCTAGGATGAGTTTCCCGTGGACGGAGGACGCGGCCACAGGAGCTCTGGGCAGTCTAGGAAAGGCCCTTGTTTTCCCCAAGGAGGGGCAGGGCCTCCCCGTGGCCGCTCTCGGCCTCCGCCAGCTGCCTCCTCCCTGCCAGGCCTGGCGGAGGTCAGCCTGCTGGGGCAGCAGCTGACGTCTGTCCGGGCGCCGCCCCTCCCCCACTGGCCTGCGGGGGTAGGAAACTGGGAGGACACTGAGCTCACTCTGGAAGTCCCCAGGCAGCCAGCAGCAGGAGCCAGCTCCACAGCGCAGACACCCTGGGGGTCTGGGGTGTGGGGCTTCCGCAGAGGGGGCTGGGCGGCCCCTTCCACCACCCTGTCCCCACCACCGGGAGGCGCAGGCGCCTGTCCACATCAGCACTCCTCAGTCAGCGGGGCAGTTCCCACAGTGGGGACCACAGGAAGACTCCTGGCCCCAGTGGCCCCTCAGCCCCCGCAGGCGGCGCGAGGCTGGGGACTTACTTCCTGAGCAGGCCAGGCAGCCAGGGCCCTGCCGGCCTCGGGGCCACCGGGGCCTCACCCGCCCACAAGCAGAGTCACGCCAGGGATGGCGCCTGCCCCTGCGCACACAGGCAGCCGGCATGGAGGCCGCTTCCCTCCACCGGCCCCATGGCCTCATGCCCAGGGGCTGAGCCGGAGAGCTCACTCCTGAGTCCAGCTCGGAGCACCGGGAGTCACCCCGAGCGGGGTCCTCCTGGCTGTGACTGAGGACCCCACTCACACGCGCAGCTGGCACCCAGAGTGGGGTGCTCGTGTCTTGGCATCGGGGTGCAGCCCAGGCCTCTTGCCTAACCAGGCTCTTGCCCAGCCACAGGGGAACAATCCACTGAAGAAGGACGCAGATTGGGGAGCCACAAGGAATTCGGGGTCCTGCCGTCCCTTGGATGTTATTTTCCTGGTGTGAGCCACTGGAGGCGTTAGGTGTGAGTTCAGGGGGGAAACTCCTGCAGGCCACGTGTGGCATCAGTGACACTGGAAAACCTACGAAAACAGAGCTCACCCCCTCCCTCCCTGCAGAGCGGGGACACTGAAGCCTCTATGTGGGGGAGCTGCCTGCAGCCAAGTACTCTGGACTGGCTGTAAGAAGACCCAGAACCCCGCACTGGGCTCAGCTGCTCCCCCACAGACTCACCGCCTCTGGGAAGGGGCTGCCATTGCACCCCGTGCCTCCTATTTCCCGTAAGTTTACTCCAGGTCTCCCCAACCCCCTTTTTTAGGAATCTCCACTCGCCGATGCCTTCCCACCTTAGGGTCCTGCCTGTCTTGCCTCCAGACACCTCAATAGTTGGAGCTGGTCTCCAACACTATTTCCCGTAAGTTTACTCCAGGTTCCCCCAACCATAGGGAAACTGAGGCAGGGAATGAGAGGACCTTGACAGCCCGGGTTTCTCAAGCTTGGTGCTCTGCGCTGGGCACGCCTGTCTGGCCCTGGCCAGAGCCGGGGAGGATGCCGGGTGGTCTCTCTCTGCCTCTGCTCACCGCGTGCAAAGACACGCTCCTCCCTGCTCCCAAGCCCTGACTCTCCGGGTGCAGACAAACACCCGCTTGAGGCAAAATTACCCAGGCTGAAGGCCACTGCCTTCCACATGCCCCCTCCCTGCCCATACACAGCCCCTGACGCTGGCTGGCTCCTTCTCCAGCAAGTGCCTCACACACACGGGCCCTAAATGTAGCCTCCCAGGCGGCTGCAGGCACCCCTCACACTCGCTCCTCAGCAGGTGCCACCCCACAGCCCTGTCCCTGAGCCTCTCCCAGCCTTTCCCCTGACAACTGAGTGTTCGCCCAGTTCCGAAGGGCCGACAGCTGGGCCCTCTTGCGCCCTCGGGTCACAGCCCTCTTTAACTTAAGACAAGGCCTTGGCTGAACAGGGGGGCCCCCAGCCCCTCCATCCAGAGCCAGGACTCTGGGGTCCAAATTTTGAGCTCTGAGGTCTTTTGCTGTGCGAGCGCACCCTTCAGCTCCTGCTCCCCGTAAGCGCGGCCAGGCCGCCCCAGGGGCAGGGGAGGATGGGCAGGGTCTGAATTCCAGGCGCTTCTGGACGGAGGCGGCACTGCCCAGGGCGGCCCCGGGGAGGTCCCCTCTCTTCCTCCCGGGTTTTAAACTTCGGCCCAATTGCCGAGCGCCCTCAGCGGCTGGCCGGGGCTCAGGGGCCTCCTTCGGCGTCCGGACCCGGCGGGCAGACCGGCGCCGCAGCCCCGCG